CTTGTTACTCGCACCACTGCGAAGAAAAGTTAACTCAACCAGAACTCCCAGAAGCTACCAAAGCCCAAGACAAATAAAACCAGAGAGAATTAAGTCTTGTGAATTACACCAACCATATCACTTTGCCTCAGGTTTTGATGATGCCTGGAGCAGACTATGCCAAGCTGGCAATTTTGTCAATTATGTTTCATTTCATACATTGGGGCTGTCATAGAATGAATTGTTATCATAGATGTCCCTGGGGACATTGAGCTCAGGCAGCCTCACACTACATGCTAAAAAGCTTTCTCAGACAGAGCTTGTCAGGAAAAAAAATCTTCTACACAGAGCCCTGCCCTACCTGCAGCTGAGCCAGAAGGAGGGAAGAAGAGCCCCCAGACACATTCACATTCTGCACAGAGGATGCTGCACAAGAGCAGCCCCGGGCCCCCCTTGCAACGGATGCTGACCCTAATGCAAACCAGCTGACAACAGCAGTACATTAAAAACAACCAAACTAGGAAATCGACATGTGAAATAGCAGAACTGTGTCAAGGACAGAAACATGCATCAAAAAACTAGAAGAAATATGTACTTGCCCAACTCCTTGTATTCTTTTCACCTTATAAAATCACTCTGGCAGAAGCAAGACTCCCTGCTGTACCAGTCTCTTATTCTTAGATGGTGCCTAGAAAGGAGAACTAAGCACAAAGATGGGGTTTTTAAAGTCCCCAAATCTTTCCTAGGCTTTTGCATGGCTTTGAATCTGTTCCTGTCATCTGATCCTAACTGCTGTCACCTGCCAGTAATTTCCTGCCTTGCTCTTGCTTGTTTTGCCATCACTGGATGCTGCCATGGCAGAGAGGAAGCCTTGCCAGTGCAAAAATACTGAAGAAGATTTGAAAGACACCTATCTGGTCTCTAAACAAATTGTCAGAAGTGAGGAAGCAAGAATATTTGTTTCTATCAGCTGCTTCATTAGCGCAGGTTGAGGTGGTAATTAAACACTATTATGATAATGATGGACTTAACTGGGGGCTGCTTGATGGCCTGGAAATACCATGCCCATCAGGGAAGACACAGAATTATATTGCCACTTCACACTGTTTGCTGTCACCTCTGTACCTGAACCATACTAACAAAATGAGTGAGTCAAACCCATTTCAATGCAGCCAAGCAAGCTGGCCTAAGTCACTCTCATAGAATTGGGAATGAGCAGAGGACATTTTGTGGACATAAACTGGATTTATGCCTCCGGTTACTTGTTCTATCCTTCAGCTGAACCATGTTAATGAACTAACTGGGAGCTCCTAGTTTGCTTCAGCACAAAGTCAGCTATTGCTGCACAAATCAGATCAGCCCCTGAAGTGGACTGGGAGCATTGTCAGAGTGTGTGAATGTGGCTCAGCTCCAGGGGAGGAGCAGATGCAAGCCGGGGTGTGGTACCAAGCAGATGGAAAACGGTGTTTCCCTAAACAGTCCCACTAGATCTGCAGCAGCACATCTGCTGCACCCCAGTGTGTGCCTGCTTCCTTTTTCCACTCACTGCAAAAAGATTTGGACTGAATCCCCTCTTCCACTGAACCTTCAGTTGAACCTTCAGTTCAGACCCATGGAGAGGTGACATAAGATATGACCTTTCCCGTGTATTTGCTTGCCACATCACACTGGCTGTGAAATAAGAAAGACTCCATGGAGTGTTGGATTTCAGATCCTATTTGGTGCTCATGCTTTCTTTGCAATGTTTCTGCATCCAAATTGTATCCCTTAGCTAGGCTGAAGGGAATGTATCTTTCTTCTTGTATATGGGAAAACAAAGCAGATGGTCTCAGTCTGAGGGACAGATGTCCAAATCAGAAAACTGTCACCGCACTTGACACCTTCCCAGTCATACTGGCCAAAATCCTCCAGAAAAGAAAAAACACACCTTGCCATTTTGCATACATTTACATTCATTTGCATGCATTCAGGCACCTACTGAGCAGAATGCTCAGCCTTCCCATTTCTTAACTTGCACTCAACCTCAGAAAGACTGGTGTGAAGATTACTTGTTAAAAGAGCTGACTGCCTGGTGACTTTGGTATGCAAGCTATTAATAAAAAGGACCCTTCTGTGCCAGTGTCCTATTCTCTTCCTGCCTTTTGTCACAGGGATGAGTCTAGGCACAGAAGAGCAACTCATAACGGCACTGCCCCTACCCAGAAATTCTGTAAAGGCAAATGAAAACCCTTTTCTGCTAAATTTTCTAGGACATGAGCAAATCATTTGACACTGTCCCACATGACATCATCCTTGTTGCTAAACTGGATAGACACAAATTTGACAGAGGCACCACTCAGTGGATAAGGAATTGACTGAATAGTTGCACTGAAAGAGCTGTGGTCAACAGCTCAATGTTCAAGTGGAAAGCAGTGGAAGTGGCATTCCTAAAGCATCAAGACCAGTACTACTTTCCATCTCTGTCAGTGACAGGGACAGTGTGATTGAGTGCACCCTCAGCAAGTTTGCTGCCAAGCTGTGTGGTGGAGTCAGCATGCTGGAGGGAAGGGATGGTATCCAGAGGGACCTGGACAGGCTGGAGAGGGGGCCTGCGTGAACCACATGAAATTCAACCAGTCCAAATGCAAGGTCCTGCATCTGGGTCAGGGCAATCCCAAGCACAAATCCAGGCTGGGGAAGAATGGATTGAGAGCAGCCCCAAAAGAATGTCTGGGAGTTGTTAATGAGAAGCTCAGCATGGCCTGGAAATGTTAATTTACAGCCCAGAAAGTCAAATGTATCCTGGGCTGCATAAAAAGTAGTGTGGCAGTCAGGTCAAAGAAGTGATTCTGCCCCCCTATGCCACCCTCATGAGACCCCACCTGTAGTAGTCCCATTCAGCTCTGTTTGTAAAGAAGGACATGGACCTGTTGTGGCAAGTCCAGAGAAAGCCACAGAGATGCTCAGAGGGCTGGAGCACCTCTCCTATGAAGACAGGTGGAGAGAGCTGGAGTTGTTCAGCCTGGAGAAGAGAAGGCTCCAGGGAGACCTTAGAGCAGCTTTCCAGTGCCTAAAGGGGGTTCTGCAAGAGAGCTGGAGAGAGACTTACAAGGGCATTTGGTGACAGGACAAGGGGGAATGGCTTCAAACTGACAGAGGATGGGTTTAACTTAGGTATTAGGAAGAAATTCTTCACTGGTGGTGAGATACTGGAACAGGCTGCCAAGAGAAGCTATGGATGCCCATCTCTTCAAGTGTTCAAGGCCAGGTTGGAGGGGCTTGGAGCAACCTGCTCTGTTGGAAGATGTCTCTTCCTATCACAGGGGAACTGGAACTAGATGATCTATAAGGTCCCTTCCTACCCAAATAATTCTAGGATTCTGTGATTCTATGAAAAGACTGGTGATGGTCAGAGTACAAAAAATACATAATCCCATCCTGTTTTCCTTTTTTTTTTTTTCCTGGCAGGGAGTTTTCTCTTCCAACCTCAAACAACCACAGAAGGCTCTACGTCTTTATTTTTCATAAGTGAGGCAGCAATAATTCACTGGGATTGTGGTGGCTGGAATGCCTTAGGGATCTGGATGTGGGCAATCTGAATTAGGGGAGAAGTCAATGAACCACAGGAGAATACTGAAGCGCCTTAGTGCGAGGCCTGTTTCCCAACATGCAGGCATATTACTGTCTGAGTTCATAGGAAATTATCCCACATGGAGCCTTGCATCTAGTAGGAGGGGGAAAAAAAGCCAGATAAAAACAAACCAAACCAAAACACAGCAGATTGCTCAATGCCGTCTGTAAACCAGTTAAAAGGGGAGGAAAAAGAGATCTCTTAATGCAGTCTGCTTGGCCAAAGCTGAGCCCTGCTCATGGGGCAGTGTCTGCAGGGGCAGGAAGAGCATGCTGCCTCCCCATCCTGAATGAGGAAGGTCCAGCTGTGGGCTGGGGCGTGATACCTGCTCCCATCAAGGCCCCTGTGAAACACTCAGGTGGCAATTACTGCTGAGAGCGCAGCAGTTATGAAGACTCTAGGAAATGCTGTGTGTGTTTTCCAGTGCTAGTTATGATTGCTTGGTGAGGCAGGAGGAGAAGGAAAAGCAACCACTCTCATGGAAATTTTTTTGTTTCCTTCATTTTAGGGTCATTTTGTATTGGTTCTTCTCTTCTTCTCAGCCCTGATGATGCGATGATGTTGTGCCAGGGAGGAGGGGCTGTCTGAAGGTGAATGGCAGCAAATAAAGAAGGAGAGAGGGAAGACAGGCTGCTTAGCACTTCCTGTTTGTCACCCAAGGCCTTTGCCCTATTGTCTCCATCCCTGCCAGAGCTTCAGAGTGACTCAGGGTTTGTCCAACCTGCCATGCACTGCTGTGATGAATTTCAGCTGCTGGGAGCAGCATAAAGGTGGCAGAGCCTTTTCCCACAAAAAAAAGTTAACAGCCAGAGAGATTTTCAGCCCCAAGGACCTTTGCCTATGAATCCTGTCAGCTTCCTTACCACCTCCATAGCTTATCAACAAATCAAGTAGGTTTTTCTTTCACAGGCCATTACATTTCCCACTTCTTTCTTTGGCACAAGGCAAAAACAGTCACAGAGGCATCCCAGGCTGAGCTGGAGACATGGCTGCACACACAGCTACAAGTGAGGAAATGCCACTTGTTTTCACTCTCTACTCGACACATGACAGTCTGTTACACAAAATCAGCAGCAAAACTCCCCCCCACTTTTGCAAAAGAATAACCCAACCCAAAACTTATGTAACTCTGCAACTAATCTTTGGTAATCTTGAGCAAGGCATTTAAATCCAGGGACTAAGCCTATTCTTCTCATCCCCCTCAACCCCCAGCCTATCTGTAAAGTAAAAAGGGAAACAAATAGAAGCAAAGTTCACAGCCTTGTGATTTTTCCTTTTGACCAGAGCAAAGTGGCATCGTGTCCCAAGGCTGCTCTGAAGTTAACCCTCCTGCCTTGCCTTATCCCATGCACTGAGCACCTTAAGAGAAAAGCTGCTTTCAGAGCAGCTGTCAGTTGCTCTTGGCTGAAGCATGGAAATCTCTACTCTCGCCACGTACCACTGCCTTGCTTTTGTCTGGTACTTTTTTGTTGCCTACTCCATCACACACGTGAAAACAGAGGAGCGGCCATCTGAAGTGTTCCTTTATGGTGGGCAGTGGAAATATTTGACAGTCCTCAATCTGGTAAGCAAATCCTGTTGTACAGTGATACCAATATGTCTGTTTGTTTGTCTGCCATCTGCGCCTCAAGACATATGCAGCTGGTGTATTTGCTGCTGTTAAACTGCTTCCTTTGGTGGTTTTTGCCCCAAAGGAAACTAAGGAGGGATCTGTGCTTGTACTGTGAAATGTATTCACAGGTTTCATGCAGAAAGAATATTGACTGGTGAGATGCCTGGTTTTCAGAAAGTACTTCAAAGCTAACTGCCTCCTTGCAAAAGAGGCATTGTCAGTGAGGAGAAAAACAGAAAAGTGGGGGTATGTCCTGCCAGGACACATACAAGTTTGGTGCCTGTTTTCTAAACTTTGATTCAAAACATTTCAACACTGCTTGGAGTTTTACTTCAATTTTTAAAATAGGCTTTTATGTCCTTTAAATTACAGGAAAAGTGAAACAAAGCAAAGCACCGTGCTAATTTAGCCATTCAGAGTACCTGCTTCGTTTGACAATCAGTTGAGAACACAAGGGAAAGAAATTCCAGCCTGTAGAGAGAGCTGCTTGTGATGTTATTACATGAGTTTCAGCAGTGCTTTTAACTGGTTGCACATTTCCTAAAAGCACACAGAAAAAGAGAGACTGTAATGTGTTCTGGTTCTTCTAATGTGCTGTCATTTCACAGGATAGAAATTCAAAGTGAAAGTACATGAGATCCCCAGGGGAGAAGGCTTGTTCAGAGTCCAAGGTGTTCATCAGCAGCTTGGGGAAGTAGTGCTGGTGGGGTGGAAAGACCAGGCTTGTGGAGAGGTTTCCTATGAGGGAAAAATTTCAGGCACACTTGCTAATTTGAAGGATGACCACAGGGACCTACATAGCCTTTCATCCATTCTGTGTTACCATCAGAGTTAAATTCCAGTGGGAGGTCTGGTCTGGGGCATGTTTGTCTCTACTTTTAGCCTTCAGAAGGAGACATCCTATGTTGGAGTTCAGTGGAAGCCTAAAGGCTCCCCAGCTCCAAGTGGGGCTTTTGGAGACCTTCAGGGAGGTGGGGAATTTGGTTTTCCTCTATCCTCAACCATTCTGTGACTCTGTGAAACATTTGCAACCAAGAAGCAGTGAATGGCAAGTGAAGTGACTACAACAACCCAGGGATTCTGGTAGCCCCAGCCCTCTCCTCAGTGGCCAAGCCAGCTTTGGGAGGATGAGGACACATATATATCACTGCAGTTGGGTGGCATCACTGCTAATTGTGATGGTGCCTGTTTATCAGTATTGCCATTTTGGGGGAATAGCTGACCCCACTAAAATACCACCCATGCTTTCAGGCAAAACAGCATCTCCACTCCCATCCCCTGACACCATTATAATGAGATTTACCACCCAGCTCTAAAGCATGAGATCAAAAGGACAAAGCAAGTAACCAATCTCCCAGTATTCTGGGATGAAGAAATACTCACTGAAATTGTCATCCAGATTCCCTTAGTGACCAGCAGTGGACAATAAGGGAAAGGCTGCACAAGGCAAGAGCATGTACAAGCATGAACTGAAGTTTCCATAGTTTTACTGTCCCACTAGCATAGCCAGCCAAAAAATAAATCGAGGCTAAGGTAGCGAATATCTATTCAAAGCCTTCCTTTCATCTATCTAAAGGAAAAACATGCCTGTTCATACTTCTGATACTTTCCCTTTCCTCTGTGCCATGAGGCAAGTGTGCCTTGTGTGAAAGAGCAGTTCATTTTGTTGGTGTAAACCTGCTTCCTTGACAGCTGAGCTGGATGCCTCATTATTTCTGCGTTGTAATTTAATCATCCATTCCTGTTCACGTTTTCTTTGCCACAAATTAGAATGGCATTAGATTATCCTCTTAGTTACTGTTTTCTGCAGGCTGGAAGTCCAAACTGTTTTCATTTCTCTTCACAAAGGGTTGCTTCTCATTAAAGCGTCCATGTCACCCTTTGCAGCAGTTTTTCAAGTTTCAGGAGGGAGTAGGTGGAGCAGGCCACAGAGGTCAAGTTATGAGCATATATGGGCTTATACAGTGGCCTAAAGGTGTTTCCTTGTTTGTAGTTTAATTCTGCTTGGCTGCTCCTAACTCTCTATTTGTCTTTTTTGATCACTGGTAGGCAAGTAGACAGCAAGTTGAGAGAGCAATCCACACTGAGACTAATATTTCTTTACTGGATAGTGACAGCTAATATAGAACTCACTGTTGAAAAATATATAATTGAAGCTGCTTTTTAATTTTTTCTGAAATGCTTGACATTGCACTTATCAACTGATTTTTGCCTACTATTTGATCACTCAGACACTAAGTATCCTAAGATTCTTTGGCAATTTTACAGTCAGGTCACTTTGACAGGGAAAAAGCCCACATCAGAGTCACAAAAGTGTACCATCTCAGTATTTGCTCCCTTTGCCAGCTCACTTACAGATGTGCTGAACAGCTCAGGTTTTATTAGATCTCCATGAGAGAGGGCTCTTGCTCCACTTCCCCAGTCCTTTGACTCCCAAATTTTAACCACTCATTGATTTGATCCCAATGCTGAAATGGAGATGCCAGCCAAAAGAGAAATGGTTTGGGCTGAAGATATTGCCTATCTCATGCAGAAAATGTGGCAATGGGAAAGGGTGTGCAAAATTACTCCTTCATGAATGGTAGTCCTTCTTCTTCAGAGATTTATTTATTTCAAGAAAGGATTGCCAAAAAATGAAGAGGCATTAGGGAAAGAAATGGTGTAACCCTCCTTCTCCTGCTGAACTGGGTAGCATTTTTTGGTAAAGCAGCAGCAAAAAGGTGGCAAAATGTTCTTGAGCTGCTGTATAAGAGAGGAAATGGGTGAGAAGACAACATGTCCCACATGCTGTGGTGCTCTCTGTGGGGCTCCACTGGACTTAAAGGACTCATCCCATGGTCTGGCATTAAGCCACTCCCTGTTGTTGCTGAGGATCATGGAGGAACAAGAGGTGCCTGTCAATCACACTTGTCCATTGGGTGCACATGCAACACACTGAATTTTGGTCAGTCTGGACACAGCCCTGGAAAACACCTGGGGATGTTGGGAGTTATGGTTGTGGGGAAGAAGAGCTGGCAAAAGCTTCACACTGGGCTGTTCTGGTTCAGTGGGTCTGCTGTGCTGGGCAGGCCTGGGCAGTGCCTTGGAGGCTTCCCCAGAGCCAGGAACACAGAGACTGCCTTTGTCCAGCTCTTCTGCCTGTGTCCTGCCAGACTGGGATTGCCTGCCTTCTGGCACTGGCTGTCAGAATCACTTGGAAATTTTCCCTCCAAAATTTCTCTTATTTCTTTGGAATAGCACTTAAAAATTTCTTTCTGTGGAAAGCTGCTCTGGCTGCCTCACTGTAATCTGAAATATAAATACTGGGAAAACTAACATTTTCTGAGGATGGAAATGCTGCTTGTCTCCCAGTTTTGCTGGAGAGACGCTGAAAGAATTCCTTCTAGATATGACCCTCTTTTAGCACCTCATTCAATTCCTTGCTAGTCATGTGGCTATCCCAAGAGAGCTACATCTCTGACATTGCTTCAGATCCATCTTCTTAATGATCATAGCAATCAAGATTTGGAAAGGAAATATTTTTTGGGGGGAAAAAAGGATAAGTGTGCTTTGTATCAAAAAGGTTTATTGACCCATTATTGAAGAAGCAGAAATGACAGATAAAACCAATTTTGTATTAATTGACACAAAACAGTGCAAGCAGAATCATTCATTCCCTGAAATATCTGAGCTCATAAAAATCTGCTCACTGCTTACAATCCATTAGTAAATCACTGCATAATGAGCACACTGCACTTTTAAAAACTATTACTTGTATTCCTGCCCCACTTTATTCCTTATACTTTTGTCTTTCATAATGGAAATACTTTTCAATTGTCCTGAAAGCTGCTTTGTATTTATTTCAGAATAGGCCCAGTATTTAGTAAAGATATTTTCCAAGACACTATCATGTGAATGGATGTGTCTACACTAAATATTGACTTTTATGTCTAAAAACTTGCTCAGAATATTGGATTTATCCCTCCCTAAAGGGCAGAGCTTGGAGCCCGATTTATTTGTACTAGTTGGAGATTTCAATATACACATATGGCAAGATCTTATACACAAAAGTAAATCATGTCAGGTTAGTTAAACAGAAACACCCTTTTGATCACTGCACCAGATAAAAATTGAGCTTTGTCTTTGTCACTGTGAGTCTCAGTTTGGAAAATTGATCTGGCCAAATTAAATGTTTCTACAGCACCCAGCACCATGGAACTCTGCAGGGTCTAGAGGAGAAAGCAGCCTCTCTCCAGCAGGGATAATCATATCCATATTCTCCTCTTTGGGTTAATCATTAGCTTTCTGAATGCTTCCAGTCTTCCTTCTGTTCGTGTGGGAACACTTTAGGGAATCCTTTCTATTTACAGCCAGTGGATTTATATTCCATGAGTGCCTGCAATGGATTTGTGAGTGCCAGCACTGCTGCTTGGGAAATTCACAGGACATCTGGAATAATTTGATGTTTTCACTTTTTTTTTTTTATGTCAACATTTTCCCTTTAATGGAGGGCTACATGATTTGGATGCACCTTTCCAGTGGGTTTGGAGCTTGGGTTTTAATCTACTGGGGGTGTACAATGCCAGACTGTGCAGTATTAGGGATGATCCTAGCTAAGTTTAGTTTTCTGGTTTGAAAATTACTTGTATAACCTTCCATTGCTCTTGGAAATACAGGGTGATCACTAAATTGTCTGCAACACCTTTGAAACTATGGTGATGAACAAGAGTAGAGTTACAGCAGCACAAATCCGAGCTCCTGAGGCTGAGTTCAAACTTCTTCAGAAGTTGTTCTTCCCCATGTTTAGCTGGAGAAATGGGTCAGGTTACACCTTCAGATAAGAATTTTCCATACAGAAGATAACATTGTCCTCCCCTGTGTATAACAGAATATTTACCAGGCTGAGAATGTGGCTGTTTTGGGACTGTTTCTTTTCAGTAATGTTTATTTTAGTTAATTTTGAAGCGGGGAAAGAAGCAGCCTATCCCTGTCCCATGATTAATGTAAGGCTGACCATGAACAAGATAATAATAGCCCCATCCTCTGGGAACCAGGCTTCTCCCTAATTGCTTTATTGGCAATTAGTCACCATGTGTCACTGGACTGTCACCACCCTCACATTCATTTTTCATGCCTTTTACAGAAAGTTACTGCTGACTCTACAGCATGTAACAAGAGCTTCTGGTTATTACCAGGCTTTTCTTAGCTCTTCGAGGACTCGGTATTGGTGTCCTGGTGAGACCAAGGGCTGGGACAGATTTGGGCTGAACCTGTGTTTGTGTCTAAGTACACTGCACCCCAGCATGGACTTTACTGAACCAGACCCATGACTTGGAGGGCTGAATCACTACTGACTGAAAAAGTGCCTGCTAATTGTGATAATGGGGAGGGGAAAATCACACTCAAAATAGCTGCTTTGGGTGCCTCAGAACTGAACAAAAACCTCTGTGGGTTCTGATGAAGCTGCTTGGTTTTGTTTTTAATGTCTGTTTACCCTAGGCCTCAGAACTGAACAGAAACCTCTGTGGGTTCTGATGAAGCTGCTTGGGTTTGGTTTTTTTTTTTTTTTATGTAAAGATATGTCTCTTCATCCTAGGCCTTGATAGGAAACATGTGGCTTTGCAGCTGAGCTGGGTGATGCACAGCCTCTGATACCTGGTCCTGTGTGACCCTGGGCCAGTTACCCAGCCCGTGTCAGCACCTTCCTACCTCTGCTGCCGTGGGTCTGCACAGGGAGAGGGGCAATCCAACAGTGGTACTTACTGTCCTGGCTCTCTGGGCTGTGGAAAGGATAGGGAAGGAAGACTGTATCTTTTCCCTGTGCTGGGAAGAAACAAAATGTTTGGGGATGGTTGCGGATAACTGCAAACTATAGTAATTTTGTTGCCCAGGAAGACTCAGTCTCTGGAAACTAAAGCTTGCAGAAGTCCTTGTTTGACAACAGGCATGGTGAAATCATAGTCTCCTCCTCCCCTCATATATTTTGATAATAAAGGAATTTCTGATGGAAAAACGTTGCACTAATTCTGTCCCCTCCCAAGCATCACCCTTTTCAGCTTCTTCAGAAACTGATGAAATAACCAGCCACAACTTCAGAGACTTTGCTCTAAATAAATATCTGAGTCAGAGTAAGATCATGGCAAAAGAGATCTCATCCTGAAAGCTGTAACCCTCTTTTCATTTAAGCATCACTAGCTGATCCAGTGTTTGCAGTAAGATGCATTTCCCACATTACATTGCTCTGGGACAACCTAGCCTTAAAAAGAAGTGGTCACCCCATGAGTTAAGTGAACTGAACTGATTTGGTGCTAAATGCAAGACAGTGGGAGAAGTATTTTTCTGCAAGGTTCTATTCTGCCTTTGTGTGTCTGACAAATCTGGTTCATCTTGATCTGCTGTGTAGTATTCGGAGAGAAAATGAAGCAATTAGAAAAGCAATATTGGTTTAAACCACAGTAATATGACAATTTTACACACTATTTGGAGAACTCTGTTTTGTCGCTGTGCATGTATCTATTTCTTTACCAAATCCTCCTAGCGTCCTCCCCAAAAAATCCCACCCTCACTACCTAGAAATGATTTTTAGTAAAACTTCATTTTTAGTTGGTGACTCTGGATCTTTGCTTCTAAGCACTTGAAATCCTTTCTTGAATCCCTTTGAGTTCAGCAAAAGAGGTTCTGTTTTTTTTTAACTTCTGCACCTAATTCTCACCTTAGATGATTTTGAGCTACTTGACACTGAGACCAATTGCAGTGTGAGTCCCTAGAAAGAAGAACCTGTGTAGGCTAAATAGTGGAAAAGCTCTCTAGAAATTGCTTTACAGGAAAAATGTCCTGGCATAATTTGTTCTCTCCGGCTCAGATATATCCAGTGGTCAACCATTTACATAGGAAGTGTGATGGAGCTGGCTTTCAACATGTCCCTTCACTTCACTCATCTGAATCATGTCACACATCTCTGTTTAATCTATTAACTGGGATACTGTAGAAGTTATCTCCTGACCAACTTTATTTAATCAGTTTGGGTTAGTAAAAGAGATTTAGGCAACAGCTATTTCCCTCACACAGGCTTGCAGCTCATGAACAAAACAGCTCCCTGAAGAGCACAAACGGATTTCATTGAGGAACATGCTAATAAAAGCTGGATGAGTTTCCCTCATTAGGTGTAATTACTTTAGGTTTTGCAGGCTGTCTTCTATGGGGTGTCCTTCCTGGCTGATGTGTTGAGACTAATTAAGAAACTGCGATGTGCTAAGTGCATAATTTCCAGCAGAGACCTTCTTTTCAGTGTCCTGGCTTTCCCAGTGTCCACAGTAAGTACCCTTTGTCTCTGTATGTGAAAATAACGTTTGCATAAATGATTAGGGGTGTATAGTACCAAAAGTATGTGTATGAAATAGATAAGAACTAAAGGCTTTCTTTTACCATTGAATTTGGAATGTATTTGGACCATTTAGAAGAAGAAACAATGCTGAGCCTGTTGTGGTTGAGAGCAAAGCCTCTTGCACAAACCTGAGGGTTGCTGTCCTCAAGTGGACACAGATTGACCCCAAAGGGTGAATGAGGTGTAACCTCTCTGTTAATCTCATGGTCCAAATAGCTGTGGATTTATCAACTTAGGGCTTTTCTCTAAAGGGCAGCACAGGTCAGGAGGACACAAGAGGGTACCCAAGAGGCAGAAAAACCTCACATCTCCTTCTTTGATGCCAGAGTAACTTTAAATAAGCACTGGAGAGAAACAGATTCATGGAAAAAATAATTATAGTCACAGCCTACATCAGATTCATCATGGATCACCTACTCCCTCACAGACAATGCTGTTTATCAAAATGCCGTGGGTTGGACAGGAACTGATGGGTTATTTATACATGTAGGTACTCTCTGTGAGAGTGATGCCTGCAGCCACCACTGAATCTCAGAGGGCTGAGAAACACTGCTTAAACATGGTCCACAAGCAGCTCAGCTAGCTGGCTCCATAAAAAAGCCCTGCCAGGGATGGAGTCAGAGTGTTCATTATGCTGCTCTCATATCCTGCTAGGCATCCTCACCATGCCTGCAGGACTGTGGCATAGTCTCAACATCTCACATCCCTGATTTCTAGCCCCAAGCACAAAGTCTGCTCAAATACAAAGCCAGGCCAAAATTGCAAATCAGCTCCCAGGTATCAGTAACTGATACCAGGGACCATTTCCTTCAGTTAGGTTGTCCCATTATAATTCCTGATCTACTGGGGGGAAAATGGATGCCCACAGTGTGCAGCTTTCACCTGCAGTTTAGGAATTAGACCTAGGAGATGTGAAGGTAAAGGGTAAGTTTATGTGAACTGCCTTATCAAGATCTGTTTTTACTTTCTTACTGAGCAAAACAAAGGTTTAACAGACAGTCCCTTGAGGAGAACTACTTGACCATCAAAAGTTCCCATCTGCAAAGGGAAAGGGAAAGAGGAAAAAAACAGCAGCTAATCTCAGATTCCACAGAAAATGTCAGTGTTGGCAGTTTATAAAGCAGGGGTTTTTTTCTCTCAGTATCAACATAGAACACTGCATCTCTGAGTAAATGTGCCATAACGTGAGTTTATCTGGCAGTGTCATAATTTTTCATGTAAAAAAAGCATGGAGATATTTTGCCTTCTCAGAAATGAAAGCACTAACTAAATCCTATCAGTTATGTTTGTCTTCCATTTGTAAATTTCTTTCATTTTGCATTTTGGTTCCAGTTTGTGTGTATATCCTTTTGGACACTGTATACCTACAACCGAGAGCTGGTTTACCCCAAAAGCCTTGATGGAGTCATCCCGCTCTGGTTAAATCATGCTATGGTGAGTAAGAAACACCTCAGCCTCTTGCAGAGAAAAGGGAGACTTTGCAACGTGTGCCCCACCACTGCATTGTACCGTTTTCCAGAAGGGCTTCACAGCTTTTCCGTTCTCACCTCCTGCTTATCAGAATCTGATGTTGAGCTGTACGCAGCAATCAGACGCATGTGCTTGAAGCTGCCTCAAGAAGCCTTTTAGCACACAAGGAGCGTCAGTTCATCGGTGCTTGTCAAACCTCTAAAGTCAATGAAATGATGTGTAGTCATAAGGAAAGAAAATCTCACTTATTGTAGCTCAAAAAAGAAATTGTGTCTGCTAACAGAAGTCTCTGAAATACAAAATGGCTGTGAATGTAACAAAGCAGCCCTTAATTTTTAAAAAAGGTGAAATAACAAAAGAGAATCTGACAGCTCTACAGCCAATAAGCTAATGTGTGCACAGTTTTGAATAGCTGGATTGCAATGATTGTTTACAGATTTTCTATAAATACTTTCCAGATTTCTCCTTCATTTGCTCTGGCCATTTTTATGATGTGTTGAATAATCACATATTTCTCATCAGTCAAGTGAAAGGAGGCTGACAGTAACATGGAAAACTGTGGGTGGATTGCAAGGTCAGGGAGGCCTCGTGGGACGAATGGGAAGTGGGAGAGAAGGGAGAGGTTCAGCTCTAGGCTGAATCAGAGAAGCCAAAAAGTATGAAATAATCACATAGAAGACTCATTTCTCTCCAGACTTCATTTCTTAAGAACAGTGCCTTGCCATCCACTGCAGTGGATTTACCCAGTGACTGTTGAAGGTAAATCTGGGAGGGTTTGGGGTGTCTGGCTGAGGACAGCTCAAGGTTTGAGCAGCCCCTTGATTTAGACAGGTGCATTCAGAGTCGTGTGACTGGAATCCAAACACACAGAGGCATGTCCGCATTGCTGATATCCGAGTGGTGAACCACAGCCATCATGCACTTTTAACCTCATCACCTGCTCTCTGTCCACCAATTCATTTCCACCAGGACCTTTCTGTGGCTGTCCAAACCTCTGCACAGGTGCAAAAGGGTTCTGCTCTTTCTGAAAACCATCATCCACCAAAATGAAAGATTCTTCATGTCCTCAGCATCATGCTGGTTTCAGGTCCAGGATTTAGTATGGGGAACTGGTTTAAAATCCTCACAGTGGTGGAGGTGCTGAGCAAGGGGGGAGGGGGTAGTAGCACAAAGTGAAGCTCAGAGAAGATAGGCTTTGCTGCTTGTTTTAATCCTGGCTCACAGCTGAGAATTTGCCCTTTCCATTTCCACATTTGTTCATGACATCGGAAGGTTGAGAGGTTTTAGGGCATACATTTTTATTTCATGTGCAAGAAGTCTTTGCAGGAACCCCTCAAATATATCAGCTATAACATCTTCTTACCTTACCTACATCTACATTTCATAACAGAGTCATTTTGACTACAATAAAAAGCTTTTCTGTATCAGAAGTGTCAAAAACAGATGTTAAAAAAGGAAAAACAATTCTTCCTGAAAATTATTTTGAAGAGAGAGAAACTTCACATAAAGCAAACCTCTATCACAACCTGATATTTTATTTCCGAAGCTCTTAATACACTGCAGACACCTTGTGCTTGACAGTTCCTGGGTAGGAAATTTTCCTTCCAGTCACTATCAAGCATAAAACATCTGCCACCAGACTGATCCCTGCTATTGACAATCGTTGTGTTTTAGAACACCTTCCAACAGGTGCCTTCAGGCTTAGCTGAGGCAATTTCTTCTTCCAACACAAAATATCTGCTGGAGACACTAAGGAGATCCAGGGACACTTTAAGGGACAATCTCCAAGTTCTGATTGCCAAGCAGACACTTTTTCTTTGGGTTCCTTTCCTTGCATATTGCTGTTACATTATGGCTCTGAGAGTACAGGCATTTCATGGCAGATTGAAGCAGCATGTAGCTGGCTTTGGAGGAGAAAAACATGGGTGTATCAGTAGTAACCATCAGTGCCATATCATTTGCAGTGGGAGTACTTTTTTTTAAAATCTCAGTCTATTTTAATGTTGTACATAGGGAAAGCATATGTTGTTATGTAACTGGAGAGTGAGCCTAAAAAATAACCATGCAAACCCACTTCAGGAATATTGAGCTCCTTGGCTTTGTAGTGATGCTGCAGCACCTTCCTTGCAGAAATGAATAACAATTTTTTTCCTCACATGAACTACTTTTACAGTGGGAAAGGGTTGTTGTTGCCCACCTGCTAGCCCAGAGTTGCAGAGTGAGCACTGTAATTTAGCCATGTTTTTGCACTCTGAACAGAAACATTTTGTTTTGCAATGTAGAAAGGAATTTTGCTCATAGTTGAAGGAGACCAAATATTCCAGACTATCTAGGTTTCTCTCTTTGCTTTTCTACTGAGTTTAACCCAAAAGTTGGGCCTCAGTTTCCACTTCTGTTTGCCTGGGATAATTATGTTTTACCATCTTTAAACCTTGACCTTCAGGGATGAAAAAAATCCACTCTACTTATGTCTCAAGCACAATTATTTTATTTGAACAAGATTTTTGAAGTGGAAGATGGCTGAGACAAAAGATATGCTGGCCAATTCATCAAGTGAATTTGTTTATTTCTTTCCCAGTCATCCTTTTCAAGCAACATCTGGATACTCTCCAGAAGGAGACTAACTGCTGGAGACAGCTTGGATTAAACCATGTGCATGTATTATTCAACTTAATGGCAGTATTGGGGAACACTACATTTTGAAAGGTCTGACAGAATTGAATGCTAAATAAAGTGGGCCACTGGTGGGTCAGAAGAGATAACTCAAAAACATTTTTGATCTATAACAAAAGATACATATAAATGTGGAGCAGATGTGTTCACAAAAATAGAAATGGTACAATTGTGTTTTGTAAAAGAAGATTTATATTTTCAGTCTGTTGGCACAGTTTTCTTTATTTTCAGACTGCAGCTAAGTTGAGTTTGGCCACCTCTTTTTCTAATTTACCCTGTAGCTGTGTTACCCTTTCACCTTTACAAAAACCAGCATTTTAGTTCCATGGGCACTCTACTGACACATGGTTATGAATTGTGCATGTTCAGAAGATATTGTAAGCTATAAAGCTGAGAATAGACAAGGAAGGAAGGTAAATGGAGGCTCAGAAGAAACATCTCTTACCTGGCAGACTTTCAGCAAGATGACAACAGATTCCCCATTGCCTGAGCTTCTGAAGCTCCTTTGCACTTTGCCCTGTTGTGGCTAAGCTGTACCTGAAAATAAAAAATGAAAATGTAAGGGAGTGAGAAAACAAGCAAGGTACATACAAGTAATTTTCCTTCACTGAAGCAGGCCACCGATGCCTTGACAGTAGGAGTACCAGCAGGACTCACTATGTCCCCTCTCATCTTGGATCTTCTTGGTATATACAAGCTGCTTGTGATTGCCTACCTAGCTCTAACTCACCTTCCCCAGTGCGGACACATCTACATCAACAGAAATGGTATTTTGGATCAGTGTGATTTATATCCATCTGGAAAAAATGTAAGTTATGTGAACATAAGTTACTCTTACCCTCATGTGAGGGTATCTGTGTGAAGGATTACATCTTACTACAGCTATTTCAGGAAGCTGCTGCATCACTAACCGAAAAAGGGGGCGCAAATTCAGTTCGTAGGGCAGAACCCTCTTGTCCAGGCCGCTCTAACTTGACTCCTACTCCAGGTGTGTACACAAGAACAACCTCAGGTTCATCTTTGGCCATCTTAAACGATTCTCTTTGCAAGCATTATTTAGTGCTTAATAATTCTTGCATATTTACACAAGGGAGAAACATTTCCATTTGTTTGCATTTCACAGTATCTCAATTTTAAGCTGTCTGGCAACTATGGACATTCACAGGCTGCCAATTACATTCAGCTTTTGGCAAAAGAAGAAGAATGCGTGTGTGAGGAATATGGCACACAAAATTAATCACCGCACACATTTAAGAGCAAAGATGCTTAGCTTTTCCCAGCACTACACAGATTTTTTTGAAGTTTCCATTTTTGTTGACATAAGCCCATTTCCTCAGGGAGAAAGTATGTGTTTCACAGACAAATGTTATGGCAGGGAATCCTCCTGGGCTGCTGCTACCCCAGCGTGCACAGGTGCAGTCTCCGTAACCCTCCCTGCACAGGAACAGCTGGAGAAAAATATTCCACAGCAAAGGATGTGTCACTTCAGTCTCATGTCAGCCTCCAGCTGCAGTGCAACATCAGTTTCTTAGACTACATATCTAATGTCAGGGAGAAAGGCAATTAAAATTCTGGCATTGACATTGAGACAAAACATTTGCTAGTAAGCAATAGGATATTCAGCCAGGGCCGTATTCCCAAAAATGCATGTGTGCAGGCAAGAAAATATCTCTGAAGCTCTTTTACCTTTGATCATACAATTGGTCTAATGTTTCATCCATTTTTCACTATAATGTTCCCAAACTACCTACACATCTGAGAAAAAAAAAAAATTATGTTGCTTTACAAGTGAGAATGAATGGATCTGGAAAGGGCAGAAACAGGTAGTAGCTGATGGTTCAGAGAGGAATGCTGCTGGAATTAAATTGAACAATATCTTCCTCACTAATCTGCTACACACCTGCTCAATAACAGGACTCCCCGTGCCTCCTGCTCTATCCATAAAATAAATCCGTGGTTCCCTGAAAATGCACTGATGGTTGGAAACACAAAAGACATGTAGTGACCCTAAGAGAATTATATCTTCAACTACACATGGCAAGGTGCTAGTTAAAGAAATAAAATGAACAATAAAGATTAAGCCCCTTCCACCCTGAAAAATGAAGAGAGGTTAAGGGAAGAAGAAAAAAGTATAGGGAAAGATTGCAAAAGAAAATTTTGAAGGAGGCATTTGAACACGGACAAAATAATAGCAAAATAAATCAAAAGAGGGAATTAGTTCCAAAATTAAGCCAAGAAAGTAGAGACCATACAGATATTTGGAAAATTATGAGTATAAAAACTAAACAGAG